CTCCGACCTTCTAAGGCCTTCTAATGTTCAACTGACTTATCTCAACATCTAAGCTCATTATCTTCTGCTCACTCTGCTTGTGCGTAACAGGCAGAATGTGTGTGTGTTGTGCACCTGCCTATGTATCATATTTCTACTACTACTACGTTTCACTGCCTCAAGATAACAATGCACCAACATTGTGCCTGACCACACCTCATTTTAAGACCAACACACCCATGGGTGCTCAGATGCACATAGTATTGCTTTCGTCAACGAAAATTATGACTAAATATCTTCGTCAACGAACCTTTATCACGTGACGAAAATGAGACGAGACGCAACGTAAATGCTGGTCATGTGACAATAACTATAATTAAATATATAATGCAATATTTTTGACGAATAAAAACGAGACTGAATGTGGTTTACAAAATAAAAGCTCTGCTAAAATGTCTCTTCATTTTCGTTGACTAAAAGGAGACGAGACGAAATGTTATAACGTCATTTCGACTCGTTTAGTCGAGTTATTATTATTTTGCAGTATTTCTGTTTCCTGTGTCTCACTTCATCAGGTCGCACTGCGCTGACGCATGCGACATCACTTCCTCAATCCCCACTCGCAGGCGTGTGTGTAACAACTAGTTTTAAAATAACACCAGGAGGTTACAGTTCATATAGTTGCTGTTGAGACTGCTGGTTATTTGGTTCAGTAGTTGGCATAATTCAGTACTGTCTGTTTTCTGTCAATGAATTCCACTGTATGCAGTCAGTGCTTCCCATCCCATTATATCTCTCTAAGGTCCAAACCATTTGTAGTGTAATATCTTTTAATGGTTTTTATGATGCAAAATCTGTCTTCAGTTTACAAGCAATACAAGACAGACACACGTTATTTGCACTTTTTATTATATTATTGTAGCTCGGGCATTGAAGCACCTTGTTTCTCTTTGTTGAACTTGAATGTATTCAGGTTTTTTTTTGCATTGTCATGTGATGCTATTTTATTTATTTATTTAATTTAAATTTATGTGTGTGTACTAACATGTTTGGTTGGTAAAATAAATATGTTGTAAATTCAAATCAGAGCGTCACAATAATATAATAATAAGATAACCTTGTTTGAACTGTGAAATGGGTTTGGCTAAAAGAAAATTTTGGTTTTGTCTATACTACTAGGTACTTATACTATACTGGGTTAAATAGAATTGCATTACTAGAAAGAGACTAAAATAAAATTTTCATTGACTAAAACTAGACTAAAATGTCATCAGTTTTCGTCGACTAAAACTAGACTAAAATAGTCATGGATGATTCTGACTAAAATAAGACTAAAATGCTCAGACTTTTAGTCGACTAAAACTTGACTAGACTAAAAAGAGTATGAACATGACCAAAACTAATAAAAACTAAACTGACAGCTTGACACAAAGACTAGACTAAAACTAAAATTAAAACAGGCCGCCAAAAACAACACTAGATGCACACAAGTGCATTTGATATTTTAACATCATGGGTGCTGGATGGAAATATTAACTGCCTTGGTCTGAAACTAGTAAAGACACTTGCATTTCACTCTGTGTGGGGTGTAAGATAGAGGGTCCTGAAAGTTATTAGACAGTGAACAAAGAGATTTTATATTGTTACCATAATTTGCCTGAACTTAAGAATCAACAGTACAAAGACACACACACTCACACAATAACCTCAGCACTACTGCACCTGGAGCAATTCATTCAGGCACACACGCATGTTGTTTATATTGTATTTTGAGAGACTGTGTGCGTGTGTGTGTGTGTGTGCATGCATGTGTGTGTGTGTGTACAGGGAACATGCTGCTCCAGAGGTTGATATACTTTTTAATCCACTCCAGATGTAGAATGTTAGTTGTTGAAACACCATCACCTCTCATGTCAGACCAGCTAATGTGTGTGTGTCTGTGTGTGTATGTGTGAGGAAGAGAGAGAGAGAGCACGAGACAATTTGAGGTTTCTGTACATGCTGCAAAACCCACATTTCAACTCACTGAGCACTTTATTAGGAACACCACACTGACACTGGGTTGTTCCTCAGTTTCTTATGGATCCACCAGATGTTGGAACTTTCCTCTTAGACTCTGCTCAACATTGACATGACTGCATCACATCATTTCTACACATTTGTTCAGCTGCACATTCAAGCTGCCAATCTCCTGTTCTACCACATCCCAGAGGCGTTCTACTGGATTCAGGTCTGGAGACTGGGGGGGTCACTGAAGTTCAGTGAACTCACTGTCATGTTGATGAAACCAGTTTGTGACATGGAGCATGATCCTGCTGGAAGGAGCCATTAGAAGATGGTGAACTGTGGCCATGAAGGATGAACATGGTCAGCAACAATACTCAGATAGATTGAGACTTTCAGACCATGATTGGTTGGTATTAAGAAGAACACGTTCCCCACTCCATCACACCACCACCACCAGCCTGTTGACACGAGGTAGGTTGGTCCATGGATTCAGACTCTGACCCGACCAACTGCTGCCTCAGCACAAATCCAGATCCATCAGACCAGGTCTCAACTGTCCAGTGTTGCTGAATCTGTGTCCACTGCAGCCTCAGGTTTCTGGTCTCGGTGACAGGAAGTGGAACCTGACGTGGTTTTCTGCTGTTGTAGGTTGGACGTGTTGTTCACTCTGAAGCTTCTCTGCTCAGCACAGTTGTGAGAGTGGTTATCTGAGTGACCGCAGTCTTTCTGTCAGCTTCAACTAGACTGTCCATTCTCCTCTGACGTGTCTCAGTTTCCATCCACAGAGCTGCTGCTCATTGCTCACACACACATTGTTTCCCATTTTCTAGTCTTTATTCTAAGCTAATATAACTGGCTGCTGGCTCTTGCTACATATTTCATGCACAGGGTTGTAGGCTATCGACCTTCTTCTCTAACCTTTGGCAAAAAAGAGAATACATTTTTGTCTCCAAAATCTTTCTTTAGGGACAGCCAACTCTTTTTTACATTAAAGCTGTAGCATGTAGAGGTCTTTAAACCGGATCCAAAACAGACCTGTGACAAACACATCTGAACCTCACATGCCTCAATTAATTACCAAATTAATTAAGAGAGTCCCAATTTGAGGGGGACCCATGCTCAACCAGACCCACTCCGAACAGATTCAAGGATAATGAGACCCTGATCCAAAATACAGTTGACCCGAACAGACCCTGACAGCAGCATGATGATCCATGGATTAATTTGATCAATTTACAAGCAGCCACAGTGAAAATAATGATGAGCATGATGTCCTACGAATGAATGTAAAGTCATAGGAACCAAAACTTGTTTTTATGCTTCACAGAGTATTTCACCTCACACATCCTGCACCAACACCGAAACATTCTGAAGCCAGCTGATCAACACCTTGACAAAGGACATACATGTTTAATAGCTGTGAATCAAATTCCAAAAACAGCAGAAATCTTGTAGATTACTGATTTTCCTGTCACAATCCATTCTGGTCTCCTGCCTGCTTTTCCCATTCACCTGCACCCAGTAATGTCTCCCACCTTCCACACCTGCTCCTCATCAGTAATCAACCCTGGATATAAGCAGCCACCTCCTGACACTCATTGCCAGATTGTTCTTCGCGTCATGCAAGTCTTTCCAGCACTTTTGTCCGGACTGATCTCCTGTTGCCGACTCTGCCTGCCTTTGACCTGCTCGTCTGTCTCAGCCCCGGTAATCACCTCAGCCTTTCGTCCCCGACCATGAGTTCAAGAGCCTACAAAACACGTTTACTCTCTGAGAATCAAAGAATATATAACCTAGGCCTATATTAAAGTATAAAATTAAACCAGACAGTACTGAAAACTAAGAAATGAACTGTAAAGTTCTCGATCTTCCCCTCGCCTCACAGTTTTCTCTGTGCTGATTGTGACGTACCACATGATCAGAGCTGATACCGCGTATGTGTATGTTGAGTTCCATTTGGATCCACATGGGTTTTGGACAAATTGACAAACAGACCTGAATATCACAGCAGTCCAGTCCAACTTGGGTCCCAGGTTGGGTTTTGGTCCCTTCAGAACGGGGAAGACCAGCACATGCGCAGCAGTGAGTGGTGATGACTGGAGCCAGTTACCTTACTTAAAGGAACTACTCTTCCACATGCTTTGTGCATTGACATCGACAAGTGATTTATTGCCCACACTAAAATAAAAACGTTTCTTCAGCTGAGATGGAGAATTTATAACCTCATTTCTTAAACAAATTCAGCAACTCAACTTCATACCTTTACTCGCTAAGAGCTGTCTCCATTGGTGGAAAGCAATACCAATGTTACTTCTATTTCCATTACTTCTTTTCTTCTACTTAAGTTTGCATGCTAACCAGATAGCCACAGCCTCGTCTCTGTAGCATCCATTCTGCCCTGAAGAAGTAGCTGCTCAGAGGGTAACCTATGTATATATTATAACCTCTTGGCTTGTAATACAACGATGGCTGAAGCTCTTGGCAGGCAGCTGTTAATGCTACAGCTAACTATGTAGCATTAGCAAAAGTTACAAATACCTCCTTTAAACATCAGATAGGCCTGAGAAACACAAACACAGAGAGAGTTTAATCCTCAGCTCATATCACAGTTGCCTTCCTTAATCAAAGTGTTCTCTTACGCGGTATATTCCACTGTAACTCACAGGTATAAACATTCAACTTGTCTGGGTTTAACTCTGTTTCACAAATATAAAATAAATTGAAATCAATAGAGGGAGACCAAGGGACTTTCTAAAAGTAAAAAATCTAGACCTCACACTATGAGCAACACAACTTTTTTACCTTTTTACCTTAAGAATTTACCCAAAATTTATTATTCAACGGAGTGTTTATTTCTGATGCTGAAGTGGATTAAGAGCAGAAAAACCTCAGGGCAACAGACACCAGAACAGAGTGGATGACAAACTAAGTTAACAATATTCAACATCCAGTATACTTTATTTTACACATATACTTTACATGATACAAAAATACTGATCACAGTGTATTTTCTTGGAAAAGATTGAAATTGCAATAAACAGAGGTTGAAAAATAACATTTAATAAATTATATAATTAATATAAAGAATACGGAGACATAATTAATACAAAACCCCCCAAATATTTTAAGACAAATTATTTAGACAATATTATAAAACAAGTGTCGAGTGTTGACTCTCTTTTAGTCCTTCCTTCGTTCCTGGGCTCTAATCAGTCGTGCTCTTATTAAAATGTCCTCAAAGCCAAGTCAGTGCATTTCCCGCCTTCAAATCACCAGAGTTTCCCATACCTGCACTCAAATCACTAAGGTTCCCGCGTTCATCAGGGTCCGCACACTTAGCTGCCATCAGAGCTGATTGGGATACTCGTGACCCGCAAGTCTACAGGGGATGGGCGATGAATTCTACTTAATAAGTTTGTTATATGCTCGTTAGCATCATGTTAGCATCTCATTAGCCAGCAGTTAGTCCAGCCGTCTCCAGTGCGAGGGTACGCAGCGACACACTTCCTCACTAAAGGAGAAACCTGGTTCACACCTTCGCCTCCTGACCTCACAGGGAGGCCTGAGACAACTGCAATGAAAAAGAGAAAAAACACAGGATTTAGCTTCAAAACTAACAACATAACAGCAGTTTCTAAAGTAGGTCAAACATATTGGTCTGGACTGGCAAATTGATGAAACGCCTTATTGGTTTATGTTTGAAATGAGTTCATTCTTACTCATATGAGTATATGGGCTAGCGTGGGCCTGCAAGTTGCAGTCAACGTTATAATCACCATGACTCCATGTATGTATAGAAGACCTTTTTACAGGGTCAGAGATACAATAAGATAGTTGGATTTATTACCCAAGAAACATGAATGTGCTCAGTACATGCTGTAGCAACATGCCTTTTAGAAACAGACAGCTAGATCGTTTGATATCTTGTTTGCAAAGTTGATGTATGGTCGTAAGAGTAATGCTAAAGTTAGAGCTAATGGATTGGACTACACTTCATCCTCCAAGGACAATCAATGTCTATTCAAATTTCATGGCTTTCCATCTCATAGGTTCTGAGATACTCATCTCTGCTTAATGTGGTGAACTGACCAGCAGACATTGCCATTAGATTATTCTGAGGACTTCTGACCATAAGTGTCCTAGAGACCTTATTCATGGATCAAAGTGTTATGAAGGAGAAAGTGGAAGAAATGTGATGGTGGAGACTGACAAAATATAGAGTATCACCAAAATAGTCAAATCATCCTCTGGGGAGCATGAATCCTCAGGCTGCTAGACAGGTGGAAATAACTAGTGCTGAATGGAAACAGTTGTTTCAGACCTTATCACTGCATTGCCCTATTGTTTTTTATCTATTCATTTTGTTTCACTTGGGAGAAAAACTCCAGCTAACAGTTGCAAACAGCAAACAGTTGCCTATTTACTCATCCAGCCGACATAGAGCAACATCAGAGTCATGTCGCTGGCCACTTGAAGAACTGAAATCCACTATACTGTATTTAAAAGCACAATCTGACTTGAGTTCTGAGATCGAGGTACTTTACAGTATATTGAGGTACATTTGGAAATATATTCACATCATTGTAACGTGTGTTGTCTGTCCAGGATATTTTCTGCCTCACAGCCAAAGTGTGCTAGGACAGACAGCAAGGACTTCACAGGAAAATCATTTCAGAAAATGAACAATGATATCAATGAAAAAATATATGTTCCTGTCATGTGTTTGGATTCTGGTGGTGATGCTTGGCTTTTATTACCTTTCTGTCACAAATTACATCTTGTGCTGTTAGTGAAGGAAACCCCTCATCCTTTGATTACAAACCATCATTTGTTTGATTGCACATTTATTGTAGAAATATTGACTGCAAAGGTTTTTTATAGACAGCAGTCAACCATAAACCTGCTTACAAAGTCCCCTAACAGATTCCTTACCGCTGTGCATAAATACCACTTACTCACATATCATCTTCTATTTTAATTTGGTCACTTAACAGTCTACCTGCACGGCTGTCTGATGTGGTCTGCAGATTTTCTGTAAAGCCAAACACTGCTGCAATGATTGAGAACCTCTGCTGCCTCACCAACAGTAACTACTTTCTTGTGTGTTCCAAGGGTCAAAGGTAAGAACTACGGTTTAGATTTCATGGCAGTAAAAACTACAGCCTTCAGAACTACTTGGTGATTTACAGCCCTTGTCTGAAGCACCAGAGCTTTCATCAGAACAGTTCGTCAAAGCTGAACAAATGTTTAGCTTCCCTTCTTCTTCTTCTTTTTGTTTCCTGACACAAGAGTGGCATAATCCTGTTTTAGAGAATTTTTTAACCTAACAATAATGAAATTGTATAAGGAAATTCCTGGACATTAGTATTCAGGCCTTCAATAGCTCATATCTCGTTAATCCCAGCCCACAATCGAGGCCTGATTGTCACCTCTTCGAAGGATTACACAAGCAGCGGATCCATGAAATTCCCACGAACACATGAAGTGTTGGAGGGATTCATTCCCATTTTAAGTAGCACTTACACACCTCATCAACACCTGTAATTGCCACCGCTTTTCTGGCTGCACGGTATGTCACATGGTGGACGACAGAATATTTATGAATATCTATGAACCCATGATGAAATACACAGAGTCAGACTCAAACAGACACACGTGGTCTATTTCAAACATACACACTAACACGAGTGCCGGATCCCAGACACTAGATTCCTACTGCTATGTTATACTCATAAATCACTCTCAAACAGGGTCACGAAAGGTCAAGACTGGACAAGATGGATGGATGTGTGTATGTGTGTGTGTTTCCTCCTGTGCAGGGAAAGGAAATAGTTAAGTGACAGCTAGGAGAAGTCATTAGCAAACTGAGGTCTTGTATTACACACCAGGTTCACTGCAACAACCACCTACCACTGCTGGACCAGTGCTTTCCTCTGACTACACACAGCCACTAACATTACAAGCGTGTGTGTGTGTGTGTGTGTGTGTCTGTACGAACTTGTGGGTTAGCACAGGGTGATGATGCAACCATTGAAGCACTGAAATACAAGTAGAACTTTAGCTGCCAAATTCCTTCACATCACAGTGACATAGAAATCTTTTTGCTGATTTGATCATTCATTACACAAACTTGTGCATAAATAAGATAATAATTCTATGCCAGCACACTTCACATAACATATGACAATACTGTATTAAATACAGCAATGAAGAATGAGAAAGCAACTTTGTGTGTAGTAATATTATTTTGGTTTTCTATAGATTTATATATTCTTTAAATGGCCATGAAACACTATTAATCTACCAGTTTTGTTTCTGTCACAGTTATAAAGGCTGATACAGTGTATGCTGCAGTTACCAATGAAAAGGATAATGGATTTTGGTTTTAAGGGTAAATTTAATTAAAAGAATATTGATGTTACTATGGAAGATTTATCACAGAAATCATTACCAAGCATTGCTCATTACCCCAGCATTAGATGGATGGATGGATGGATGGATTGATGGTAGATGGATGGATAATGCATGGATGGGTGGATGGATGGATGGATGGATAGATGGACAACAGAAAAGCACATCACCATCCTTTAGAAATTAAACTCTCATGATTAGACTCTCATGTTTGCACTACACTTGCGCTCATGTCCTTCTGTCATTATGATGAATACATTAATTGTACCACCTTATTCTTTATGTGCAGTTTGTCGAGTCTTTGTAGGTTTCAGCTAGTCTCCAGGTCTGTCCCAAGCTTAAGGCAAAGCTTCTCTGTCTTTAAGCGCTAAGTTCTCTCCTGCTAAAAGTGTTGTTTTAATCACCAAACACTGGATGGTACTGAACGCCCCACATCCCTCCTTACCTGCATGTAGCTTGATGGAACCTCCGTCCTTTCAGGAAACACTTATTGGGCGACTCATTACATTCACAGGAACACTTTGTTTTATTGAGGGGCTGGTGCCTCGGACACGTCTTGATACACGTGCACTGACAGGTCTCTTTGCTGAAGACGTGGTTAAGTGGGCAGGAGGGAGCAGGCGGGATGTTGCAAACACACTGGCAGGTATTACGGTCGAGATGTCGGTTCGGGCCACAGTCTTGAGTTTGATCCCCGCGACGACACACACACTGACAGGTTTCCACATCCAGTTCCTTACCCGGGCCACACACATCTGATGAAAATATGTCTGTAGAATGGAAGGAGAGAGACGCACACAGGTGTGAGTTGTTATTTAAAGGAGTCTGGGCAGGAGGTCATTGGCTGAAGACAGAGATTGTATACCGATAGAAAGTGTGAGTGGAGTTGGAGTTCCCCAGAATGAGTCAGTTTCTTTGAAGATAAATTCACTTTGTCAATAAGATGACAAATCCTACAGTGGGTTTTTTGGTATGGTTTGGTGTGTGGATAAATGACAATATGTTATCAATAAACCCAAGAATAAATTCTTTAAACATACAATTTTGTACAGGATTTCTAAAGAGTGAAACAAATATCCAAACAGCATTAGAGATATGTGGTTACACTTTCAAGAAGCAATTGCAGATGTCACTAAAGTATATGACTTGAGCTACACATACTCTATCAAAAACTATAAAAACATGTCTTTAAATATGCACCACATGTACAGTATAGTAAGAATAATCTCACTAAACTTAGAAACAGGGTTACTGATGTGGTCATTTGCTGCTGTAGGTTTTAAGGAAACAAACTGATACCCTATGCAAAACACAGTTGTAAATGTTGGCTATTACTGAAAATGTTACACAACTACATATAAAAACAGTGTGCGTGGCAGTTGTTTGAGATCACTGATAAACTATGAAATTCAGACATTCCTGGAATAGAGTAGTGGTGCTCTCTGTTTCCTCAGGGATAGCACAGATGGTTCTCTTTCAACACTGGCAAATCATCCTCTAGCTAAAAAATTAAGGAGGAGAGAGCAACAGAATGTCTGGCAAATGGATGTTGAGACTGTTCAATCTGTGTGTGTGTTTGTGTTTCTACAGATGAACAAACAGAGATAACAAAGACAAAATGCTGGTGTCTTCTCCAGCGTAGCAGTATGTGCTTACACAGACTTTATGGAACTTTATTTTCCATGACAACAAACTCTTGAAGTCTCAGTGGTGAAAACGTTTGATAAATGTCTCCCTCAAGGTAATAATATGTCCTGAAATGACATATTAGTAACTTGCAAACTGAAATTACTTTTGTGTTTGCTATTTCAAATAGTTTATGTCTGCCCTGGGTGATATCTGCAACACTGGTGGTTTAAGGCATGTCAGATAGAACACAATGCTTTTCATTGCCATCATCAGAAGAATATCCACGTCCAAAACAAATGAATACAACAGAGGATCCAAACAAGAGTCAAGGGGACGAGCACAAAAGAGAGTGATAAATATGTTATGCTATTTTAGCATCCAGTGTTGATATGCAATATGAAGGCAACTACTTGAAGACATATATTTCTGTACCTGTTAACTGCGTTACATTTATTGCATTAAATATTGATGAAATATTAATGCCAAAACTCTAGCAGCTTCTCTTAAATTGACCCAACTATCCACAATTTGTATTACTGATTAAATTGTCGTTTTGGGGGAACAAAATTATAAATTGAGACAACAAATAACATTATTTGAAGTTCCTCTCCAGACATGTTTTAAACTCTGTAAAAAATCCTCTGCCATGATATATATTTTGTTTAATAAGGTTTTCCCACATAAAAAGTGAAAAAAAATGGAAAACTGGGTCTGAAGCTCATCTCCTCTTACTTCCTCATTGAGAAATCTGGATCAGGCCTTGTGCCCCGCCCACCACCTGCTGTCTCCAGGTGGACAGGTGAGAGAGCAGAGAGTATCAAGATGGTTAGAGGAGGAAACATCAGAGAGACTCAGCCACATGTTTGAGCCTCAGTCAGACCCAGACTCAGATGAGGAGTCTGAGACCAGAACCAGAGACTAGCAGACGTATCAGAACGGTTAGCGTAGTTAGCATCTTTTATTTGTTTATGTTGTTATTTAGCTTGTAACTGGCAGTGGATGACACGGTGTTAGTGGCTGTGCAAATGCAAACTCACGATAAGTTTTCATGTTAATTCAGCCCCAGCCCCCGTCCCCACAAGTTGACAGGATTGGTTCCTTAGGTTTGTGATATATGAAACCCTGGCTGTCTGAATCTGTTTTTAGTTCAAGGTGGAAACACTCAGTCATGGTGTTGACTGGTTATTTTGTCTTATATAAATAACACCATATTGGTGTTGACAAGGTTAAAAACTAGATTTTCATCAAAGGAGCTGAGGAACCGGCCCAAGCGACCAAGGAAACTCACAAATGTAATTTCCTCTGTTAAGAAAGATTTAAAGATTACGACAAACATTGTATTGTCTTAGTTTAATGTTGTTTCAATTAATTATGGTTCCATGCTTCATAAAAGCCACAAAAAAAAATCACTAGTAGTATGCTGATGTCTCTGTAGCTAATGTAGTTAATGTTACAATTTTATTACTGATTTGTGCATGATAATCCCGCATTTTGGCATTTGCATTGGCATTCCCACCATATGACATCCTAAATTTAACTGATGTCCAGCAGTGAGTTTGCTCTCCCATATCAATGCGGACTGTCAGGGCTGCCTACACAGCATCGCTAATAATAGCCTGGTATTATACCAGTGTTTTTTTTTTTCTTTTTCAATTTACCGATTGATGCGTGAAATTGAAGTTGTGAAAGAATCGCGTTTGCCCATGATTTTCACATTTTGACGGCATCTTGAATCTCTGGCAAAAACACGTTGCGTCTGCTTTTGTAAAAGCCATCGGAGACTACTGATGACGTATCGCGTTCTTAAAGGTGTGTCCCATTTCGTAGGGGGAGATTTCAACCACTAGCCCTTGTAACTCAGTTCCAAGGGGCAAGGGGTAGGGGAAGGAGTAGGTGTAAAAATGAGAAATGGGATTGGGCCTAAAGCTAATATACACAAGTTCTGAACATCAGGCTAAGGCTAACATAAGATCAGGAGCTCCCACCCCTCCATCTCTGCTCTGTTACAGTCCACCAGGCCCATCATCTAAGAGGCCGTGGACACCACAGAACATTTTATTTGGAAACTTTGAAGTGTCCATGTCACAACAGCAAATATGTTTGTGTTTAAGTTAAACGATTAAAATTATAACCAAAGTTAATACAAAGAAGTCTTGAATATGGGTATTGTGCAGCTTGTGCAGGATTATGATAATCTTAAAGGATTTGAATGCCATGTCATATTTTGTACAATCATGCTCTAAAGAAAAACAAGGGCTATAATTATGCAGGGTCACATAGTGCTGATGCATTGTGGGTTAGCTCACAATCATGCTTTTGATTCAGCATGACAGTCACTGGCAAAGGTCACTGCTTTGGACACACACACACACACACACACACACACATATACATACATAAACAACCACACAAACGCTAGTTACTACTGGGGTGAGAAATGTTACCTCTGTGGAAACTAAGTGATTTGTGGTAACTCCAAGTTACTCCATACCGGAAGCTATCAGGAAGCTATGTTAAGGAAAATTGTTATTGTTTTTGGTAAGCTCCCATTCATTGTTTCTGGTGGGAAACAGTTTGCAGTAAAACCTTTAACTTCTTTATACAAAATAACACTTTCAGTAAGGATTAAAAAAACATCTAATAAAACACAAAATAATGAACAAGCATGGCTTTCTCTGGACAGGCAGACTCAACGGCTGTTGTTTTGAACTGGTTTCCAGTAAAGAGTCATGGTATATGTCTTGATTTACACCTGGGTCATACTCTTGTTATTTCTGTCATTTGTTCATTGCAATTTTTCTATCTTTGCTTTTCACTGAAGTTTTTGAGTTTCACAGTGTCTTTGATTCTGACCAAAATACAATGTCACAACAACAAAAGTAATTTAAGCTGTCTATAGTGAAGTCTGTGGACTATCCTGAATAACTAAGACTAAAAACTATACTCTGCATACCATTAACGTTAGTATAGGGCTAGTATATCTGTCCTTGGTGCTGGCCATAATTTCAGTAATCACGCTTGATAGCCGAGCATTCATAATTCAAACTGTATACCTAAAGGGACGTTAACTAAGCCAACTTGCGCACACCTGCTGTGGGCTGTGTGTTTTTCTAACTTAATGTTATCTGCAACAATAGCTGTGAGGACTGTAGCAAATGCTTATTGATGATGGCGCCTACTAGGAAGAGGTGCCGTCTGGTAAGTGTGCACGTCATAGACATGCACAGTACATGCGAACAAAATGGCTTGTGCAAAGAAAAAAAAAAAAAAACATTTACATACGTACATAAGGACAACCTGAAAACAATATGCCTCTGGCTCTGGCTGTAGCCAGCACTGAGGCAAAAAAACACTGTAAAACTTAGGCTATATCTAATATTGTGTCATCTGAATGTGCAGATACTGAGGAAGAGTCTTCACTATCCAGTGAAATATTTGTTGAAGTTTGTTAAAGTTAGAATTAGACCATGATTCTACAACTCTTTTTATGTACCCAGTTGATCCAGTAATGAGTAGCACCCCTTCAGTTGGACTGGATAGTGAAGGCTCTTCCTCAGTATCTGCACATTCAGATGACACAATACCCCCACCGCCCCCATATAAAGCATACCTTACAGACTTCAGCGATGAGGCACTGACAAGGAAGCACCCCTGCCTGAGAGAACCAGGGTCTTTCAATGAGACCTATGGATGGAAACAAAGGCTCAAGGGAAAAATCGCCAACTACCAGACTCTACTTAAAGCAGTGTGAATTCTTCGAAACCCAAGTCTCAAGAGGAGGCCCACCCAGGACAGAATCTGAAGAGACATAGACGAGCCAAGGTCAACCATTTTCCATCCTTGCAAATTTTCTGTAGTTCTGCATTTTGGCAGAACTACAGAAAAGATACCCCGACAAACAGTAAAGAAAAGATGGGATACCGGAGACAAGACATAGGGCATAAGAAGCCAAGCACTGAAAGCATATTGGAGAGATGGCCTGCACTTTTTCAGATGGAAGAGATATGTTTGCAAAACACCTCAGACACTCTAGTCACTCAGACGTAGTGCAAGCGCTGTTTAATCCATGTGAAAAATGTCTTACAATTTACATCCAGGAAATACTAAAAAACGTTGGGCCTAAATTTTAATACAATTATGAGAATTTATTTTTTGGATTAAATTACTGCTGGTTAAGTTTGGTTTCTAGGTTTAAATATTGCAATATTCAAATTCTAAAAGTTTACATATGAAATGTGGAGATGAGCTTTTGACATCTGGAGATTTGTGTAAAAATAGATTTACTTTTTTTTCTTGATTGGATGGCGAGCAGGAAAGGAAAAACTTCTCACTGCAAATACATTTTGATATGAAAGAAGGAATGTGATTATTTTCAACAGTCATGTTCATATTCAGCCTGTATTGTTATTAGGTCATCATACCACTAAGTAATAGCCTGCCTAAAATGTAAACAGCTGTATTAACCAACTCTTGAATATTTATCTCACCATAGCCAGAAAATAGTCTGTTTATGCTGATTAGGGTTTTACAGCTACACTGTCATCTTTTAAAAGAAGCTGCAAATCATACTTTCGAAAATCAGCTCGGCTAAAAGCTGGATTATTGTGAAGGTGTAAACAGATACTATATAAACGCTGGAGTCGTGGTTGTAAATGAATGAGTCAAAACCTTTTGAGACAATGTAAAATAATGAGTTTGCTGCAATCTTAAAAATGGTTTGAATGGAGTTAAACATTTAAGGTTAAACTGAATGGATTATTTATATTAAGTCAATAAAGCTTACTATGTTTAGGACAACATGAAATATTTGGTTTGCTTCACTTTCAGAAAATAGTTTGCATCAAGTTAAAAATACAGGTTAAACTGAATAAATACTTTACATTGAGGCAATGTCAAATATTTCATGTGATCAATTACTTCAATTTTTGTAAGTTGATCCTACGTTTTATTTTTTCAGTGAAGAAAAGTTACAGGAAGTAGTCTCGGTTGTATTGTAGTCTTAATTGGAACACTGTCAAGTGTTTTTTTTCTGGCATGCCCCCCTTCATAAGCTGAAAAAGGTTCACCCTTCCCCCACCCCACAATTTAATCAATCAATCATCTCTCTCTCACTCTCTCTCTCTCTCTCTCTCTCTCTCTCTGACTGTCTTTATCTCCCTCTCCTCCTCCTCTGCCTCTGTTTTCTTGACATCTCTTTTCAACACCGAGGCCTCTCTGTGCTGGGACATGGACCATTCTGGGACATCTCTCTCTCTCCTAGTGAATCACTCCAGACATTTTGGATCTGGATCTTTGTCCTCCAGGGGAGAAGTGGTGTCCCTGTCCCTCTTCCTGTGGGTCCCAACATTGTCCTTGTGACTTTTCCTCTATGTGAATGATGTCCTATTTACAGGTCTGTGTGGTAAAGAGTGACTCAGGCCCGACATGTTACATGTTGCCCCTGGATACATTTTCTTTCTTTAAGTGTGCACTCTATCTAATGCACAATGCGCTAAATTGCCAGACAAAAATGTTGCTGTAATAGGGAGTAAGTAACTCTGGCCCCTTAGAACACAGAGCAGAGGGCTTAGTGCAGTCTGTGGACAGTCAGTCAGGGGTCAAAGCTTTTTGTTCCTGACTGTATCTCCCTCATCCCCTATTAACTTTCTGGCTGAAGTTTTGTGTGTATAACACTGTGTATAATACTCATATTTTTTTCACAACGACGTGATCATCCATCTTCATCTGTAACTCGCTATTCCTTACTCTTTATGGCAATGTTATTTGTAGCCTTTTCAGGCACATCAACACATGTTTTGGGGGAGCTCTGCCACAAGGAATTATTTGTGTAATATTTCCTAATATTCAGATCTGTTCTACTGGACTCCTGCCATGGTTTGTCAAACCTACTTGCCAAATTTCTGTTTAATGTCCTAAGTTTTGACTGTTGACTTCTGGGTCCCTCTCCATCATGAGAAGTGTGTATGTTGTTGCGATTAAAAGTGGCACAATGGATTCAGAGGGCTTTAGTCAGTCCACAGGTCAATCATGTGACAGATTGATCAAGACATCTGTCCTTACAACATGTCTGCAAATGTGGGGGATTTCCTTCAATGTCATTCATTTATTTAACAAAACGAAATGAATGTGGGAGCTAAGATTCCCCAGAATGAAAAGGGAAGGTAAGGGTTAAAGGAAAGGATGTAGAACTTGGAGAGTGTAGATGAACAGGTACATTAGCTTAACATATTTTAACTAAATGTAGTTCCTTAACCATCACATCACTTTTTCACATTGCAGAAATTTCAAAATCATGTTTAAGAAATTGAAACTTAATCCTTTGTCCGTGGAGATAAGTTGATGTGTCAGTGTAAGTATGGAGCAGTATATTTCTCATTCAGTGGCCCTGAAAGCTCAACGCCCTGCATGCAAGTAGACAAAACACAAACAGGTTCAGAAACATCTTCATCAGTCTGACAACACATGAGCTGCAAATACTCGAAAATACGCAACAGAAATGTTTCCAGGGGACACTAAAAAGTGATGAACCCGGCCGGGACACACTTGTTCAATGCTTTGTGACTTTTTAAGTAAAAAGCACCGAACAACAAGTGCACATGGATGTATTATAATACATTATACCGTATAAAATAGCTAAAAAAGTGCTTTATAAATAAAGTTAGGGGGAGATAACATTAAAGTAGTCGTCATGTACTGTATAAGCAGAGCTAGTGGAAAGCTCATGTATCTGATAAGGAAAGGGTTCATCAACATGAATGTACAATCTGATCATGAGATTTTGTCCAGGTGGAGATTTAGGCCTAATGCTGATATGGAGGAAAGGTCAAAGGGCACAGTCATTAGTTTTTGAGAAACACATAATTTCCTCATAGCCATTGTAATTTAACCAAATCACCTACTCCTTCTGAATTTGGTTTTGAAATAAAATTCAACACCAAAAAAATCTCCTCCATTATCTTTTACTGGCCATTTGTTTTGCGCCTTTCATTCATACGAGTGTATTTGTGTGCGTGAGTATCTGTGGAATCTGCTACTCCAGGGTCTCCACATTCTTCTGCTTGTCATTTGTTTACACTGAGTTCAGAGTGTTATCATAGCCAAACACACACACAGAAACTCACAAACACACACATACAGACTCTCAACAAACACACTGCAGTCATAAATACTCTTTGTTGAGCACATGAACATTCTCCTGTCACAAATACCAACACAGAGAAAGATGGGCTCCACTAACAGTGTGTGTTTGTTTCAGTGTTTTGGTATGTGTGTGCTCACTGCAGGCCTCGGCGACACGTCATCATGCAGCACTGATCAGCTATATTTATTGGCAGATATTTGTTTGTACTGGTTGATCTGCAGTATTGGCTTTTCTAGCATCAGAGGAACCACAATTTACTGTGACAGTAAAACTGGTTGAGATCAGAGACAACAGGTGATCAGCTGTTCCTCTCTCAGCTCCAGGTAGAGCAGGGTAACCTCAGCTTCTCTACATATAATTTAAATTTGTTGATGCGTGCTAATAGAAAACATACTAGTTAGCAAACTACTTGGCAGGTTTCTGTCAATTTTATTCAGATATAGAAGCTTGACAATATGTCTGATTTAAGGTTAAATCATAGCATCAAATTCAAAGCACTTCTGAACAGGGATTAATAAGAGAGCTTTATGGGTCAATAGCATAAACAGACCTTATGCAGTTGTCATTATATGACCCTAAACCTCTAAACCTCTAATGACCCTAAACTTTTTTCTGCCAAGTCAGTTTGTTTGACTGTTCCAAGTAGAAATCACTAAACTCTCTTAACTGCGCAAATTTGCATAATCAACACCACCCCACTTTCTGCATATTGGCTCCACTGAGGGTATGTTTCACTTAGAAATGTCACCCAAGAATAAAATGAAGAACTTCAATATTGCAGATCTTGAAGTTGGTGTTAAGGAAACAATCAGCAGACAAAAGCATTATTTAGTTTAATTATCAGTGTCCATAATGGTACTGAAAGACAGCAGTGCATTTGTCCACGTGTCTTAAAGCTCCATATTTTCTTCTTCTTCTGCGTTTTATTTGAAGTGTTGATCCATAAGAAGATATATTTGTGGTTTTAAGAACCAAAAACCATCTCAATGTAGTTTTACATCTCTTCTCTCAGGCTTCTCTCTGGAGCTCTAGTAACAATAGGTCGGTGAGCCTCCTCTCTTCTGATTGGCTGACTGTTTTCTGAGTGATCTAATAAAAATATAACAGATTTCAGAAAAACACTCAGAGAAACCAAATCCTGCAAGGTGGGATGGTGGGTCCAGGTGGGGCTTGGGGCGTGGCTGAGAGTTGTGACTGCTTTGCTCCAGAAGTCCTGACGGCTGGTTTTAAGGCTCAGTTTCTGAATACAGGCTGTGTGCATTTCTCTGTGCACTGAGGCTTTGGTACTTTCACAGTATTAATATAAAACCTAGACCTCATCTACCTTTAGACTATATGGAGCTTTAATTTTTCTCTCATGTGTACATTACTTCAGAGGAGAGTGCTGGTTGAAGATTGCAGCCAATCTTTAACCAGCAGGTTGGATTTAAAGAATGCAGTCAGTGCTATACAAAGAGCAGCTTTGCATCGTTTCCACATCAAATGCTGTTTTCCTCTGTCCCTCATGAATTGCATCTATTTAGGTTTCACATTAGGTATTAAGAACACGACCACACACACCCTCTAACAGCTTTGCCATTTAAACTGCTCATTACTGCAATCTTGACATTGTTGGCAGTGAAGGGTAATTTCCCTGCTATGTTTGCCTAACAGCAGCTATAATTGTCTCTTCCTATTTTTCTTTTCTGAGCTGCTGCAGAAAAAATAAGCAAACACAGTTTCCTCTGTAGTGTTTTCTGAAAAAAATGAACCAGAGATACAAGATAAACCTCTTTGTGTGCAAATGTGTAAACACTCACCAAGGTGCTGTTGGGAGGGCCGTGGAGGGGGCAGCGGTGGTGGAGGAGTGTTGTGGTGCATGATGGCGGCCATGCTGACACACCAGCATAGTCTGCTGCTCCAAGCCTGACCAGGAGGACACGTCCTGTTGGCTACCGGACACCTTCAAGAGAGACAGATTTCATGAGACAGTTGACCCTGACACCCCACAGGTGCTTTCCTGACTGAAAATGACACAGAAGTCCCACTGTAGTTTATTAGATATTGTATAGATTTTATAGATAGTACTTCCTACCTGCATATTATATTGCTATGTACCAATGACATTATGCATTTAAGATAAAAAGTTTAAGTTGAAATAACTATTACAAACTCATTGAATTTCCAGGCAGCCATGATGCACAGTAGCACAACCCTATCTGGATACATGTCTTTAGTATGGTGGACCCGACTTTCAACCACATAAAAAGGGACACAATTATATGTAAATCGTTATTCAAAAAAACCAGAGTCACGATGTGGATGTGAATGTGATAGACTTGAAAATACACATGAAATAAACAGAAAGTGTAGATCAAATTTTTTTCAAACATTTCTTATAACTCTAGAACTTGTGAAGTTTTCTTCAGTATGAGGGGAACCCAGGGACAGTTTTCTGTGCATCCATGGGTACAAACCAGAACTGCTAAAGGCTAATTCAATTAACAATTAAATGGCTAATCATTTAATCTTGTTACTCTGTCAATTTTTTTAAATATAGGTAAAAAAAAACAATGCCCCACAGCTAACTCACTGACATGGCAAAAACTGTTTCAATTTTGTCTCAGTGGGGGTCCACAGTATCTGACTTTGCAAACCCCTGTGTACATGGTAGGGTGACTGAGAGGATGCATTTAATATGCTAAATGATATTGACATGTGAAATATCAGACAAAACTAAAATGCTTCACTGTGGTTAACCCTTTGGCTTATGTTACCTTGTGTCCAGAGAAATTACATAGCTCTTTTCCTGTGGCACCTTTTTGCCTTCATACAGTTCCACCTATTAGAGACTGTTCTGTAAAAAATGAGCCCATAGTTCGTCTGTGTAGCAGGTTATTGTCACCCATAGTTATATTTTGTTGCTAGGCGACATCTAGTGGTCATAGTAGTGATCACAGGAGCAAAGGGAAAAGTGCGGTGACGTAGTATAAAGAGAGAAAAAGTCCACGTCAGGAGGAGGTTGTGGTGGATGGATGAATATGACACAGGAGAGTCATGTTCGATCCCCATGTGAAACCAGCTGTTTATATTGTAACCATGACAACAAAGACTGCGTAATGTTGCGGAAGTACTTATCTTAACCCAAATCACCATCTTTTCCTAAACCTAACCAAGCCATGACCATTATTATAGTTACCATGGTGACAAAGGTAGGTATGTACCTGTACAGACGGTATGTTTATTATTGTAACCACGACTACCGAGGACTGGTATGTCTGCTGTAGGGGCGCTGCTTCAGGAGAAACCCTGATGAGTTGTATGAGAGGGTGGAGGTGTGTGGTTGTTCAGGTTGGAGGAGTCGTTGGCATATTCACATTGATTTTGGTAATAGCACAGTCTTATACTGTTGAACACTGGGAGCTGCCCTCTTCAGCCTCAGTCCTTTAACTAACCTCTGCAGGGGAGCTCAGTGAATCCAGTGAATCCAACCAAAATCATTGCAGCACCCTTTTTTATTTGTGATAATACAGACTGCAGTGTGAGGGAGATCATTTATCAGAATGGCAGCTGAGTCATTATTTACCCACATACAGTCATACTAACTGACAGAGAAGAGCAGCATTAGTTCCAAACTATGTATAGCTCCATTACACAGTAGTTTGAATATTGTCTGTAACACTGCCATTCACACTAAGAATCAACACTCCTATGGGCCTAGCTGGACAGTTTTAACTCATTGGTATAATTAACCATTAGCCTGTTTAGCTCCTGTCAGCTTTGCACAGTCAAGAGTTTGGTATACATCAGGTTATCTCCAGGAATCTGTCTCTCCTCTCTTTGCTTTTTTAAGATGTTTTTTTTTCACTGTTATACTAATTGATACGTACTGCCTGATATTATCTGGCTTCAGACCAAAGTGTATGTTACCTAAACTGAAGTGAAGTGATGGAGGTGAAATATGATATTTTTCTCAGGGGTTGGTGGACAAAAAAAATAATGAAGTCGACAGGTGTGCATAAAGAGCACTCCAGAGGGATCAAATTGCTATCAAAAGTATTTTAATCTAGCACAGAGATATTCATAAATAATTGTATTAGCTGTAAATCAATACAAATCTTTTCTACACATGTACAATTTTGAATTTCTCAAGCAGAATTATTTAATAGCTTTACAAAGGCTGATTTACAAATACAAGCTTTGGAATTATTTGTGAACATCACTTTACAAGCTCAAAGTCTTTTTCACCCTAATTTGAGCCCATAAAAGTGTTTGCTAACAGTTCAGCCAGTGGGAGAGGTGGGTAAAGTACAAGGATTGTTGCTGGGAGTATGTTTGTGTGTAGTGTAGTATAGTTTCTGGGAGACCACTAAGATGTTATTAAAGTCATTACAGTGTGCAACATTTTGTCTCTGTCCCCCTCTGCCACCCTCTTTCCCTCCTCCATTTCTGTGAAGCCCTGCAGTCACTGCAACTCTCCATCTGCCCACCAGATGTCCTCTGACTTTCCTCACCTCACTCCCACATCCACCTGCTCGCTTGTCTCCCACTCTCCGGGTCACCTACACACCTGTTGTCAATTTCCCTCATTAGCTCCCCTGCATATATATACTGGTCCATTTCCATTTAGCTGTTGCTGGACCGTCTATTGTGCTGCAGCAGCTGTAGATGTCCAGTCTTTGGTCCGGTCTGTTTTCTGGACTTGCTTGCAGCCCTTTGCGGTTATCTCTATTTCCATTATTGAAGTCCTTCACTGCACCTGCCTGTGTCTGCATCCGGGTCCTCTTTACTGTGCTCCAAACATCAATTGTCAGACTTCTATTTCTAGTATTTTGTAATTGAAATATGCTCCAAAACATCAAAACTGCTAAGATGACCAAAGCCAGGGGTGGGACCTTACAACTGTCAACCAATATGTGAACACTTTTCACAATATGTGACAGACCTTCCAGTCCTCTGCTTCTCTTACACCGAAGCTTCCGGCTGGTATTAGCTGCTGGAAGATGTCTTTATATTTGACTCACTGGATAATGAGGTCCTGATTCCTGCTTCAGCTGAGACAGCGAACATGACGAGGATGTGGGTGAAGGACTGGGTGGAGCCTAACAGGGCAGAGAGAGGGCAGGGTGGGAGGAGCAGAGTGGTTTGCTGTCCAGTCTCAAGCTAGCACTATTTGGGTTTCCAGAACTTGCATATTGTAGCTTTAATTACTGGCATGTCCTGTTGATATTCATTTCAGTCCACACTTTTTATACATGCTCATCTGTCCATTTGAGATTATTGTCGTATTATTTGTATCTGATTTCTCCAGGTTTGTCAAACAAATCCAGTATAATCTCATCTGAAAAATTCAAAAGTCTAAATAAACTGGCATCAACCCAGAACAAACACAGCTCTGTCTATCTGATCTTAAGGGATTGGCTGGGATACAAACTGGGCACCTAATTGGTTCAAGAAATAGGATTCCTCAGATGTGTGTGTGCGTGTGAAAGTGCAGTTCACCCCTCTTAACCCACAGCCCGTGATAAGCCAGCTGAAGGGCTGTAGAACAAATAAACACCTCGATCAAAGGAGAATTTCTTGGGTCAGCTTCAATCAGACTGTCAGGAGGGAGAGGGAAGTATCAGAGGATTATCTGTGATGAGATGTCTCTGGGATGTCACTGCTGGCTTGCCTTCTAGCATTTGTTCAGTTTTGAAATGTAAAAAGTTCTTTATTGGTGAGTGTAATGCAGCAGAACCAGTGGTTGCTGGTAATGTTTCTACCTGGGTGGGGCTACAGCCACTGAGGGGCTCTGTTTACTCATGATCAACATTGTTGTCAGTCTTGGGTGAACCAAGACAACCAAACAACAATGTTGACAGCTTTGACTCCAAATACAGAAGACTGTTACATTCACTCAACAACTGTATCAGAAAAGCAAAGACACTGTCTCTTTTCTCTTCTCTTTTGATCCATAAGAAGATATATTTGTGGAAGAGACACTCTGAGCCTCTCTTTTAAATATAGCAGATTTCAGGTAAACACTCAGAGAAACCAAATCATACAAGGTTGAATGGGGCATGGAAGATGGTGGTTACTGCTTTGTTGTGACATCACAAAGTTCCAGAAGTCCTGACGGCTGGTTTTAAGTCTCAGTTTCTGAATACAGGCTGTGTGCATTTCTCTGTGGACTGAGGCTTTGATACTTTCACAGTATTAATATAGAACCTAGACCTGCTTTATAATAAAACAAAACATGTAGATCTACCTTTATACTGTATGGACCTTTAAAGACCTTCTGCCTCTATGATAGTTACAGAAATGACAATAGACAATGGTGAATAGAAAAAGTGGCAACAGGCTTGTTTAGCCCAGCATGGCTTTTTTCTTTTCAGTTGTCCCCAGGACGGACAACATTGAGAGAATAGCTGCACTTCTTGTGTGAGTCTGTACTGTGTAACAACAAATGATTGCAGCCTCCAGGAGCTACAAGTGGACATGTAGCATTTAAGTGCTGCTTTGTAAAAAGCAAAGGAAAGGTATTATTGGTGCATCCTACATGACTCTACTCTGAGAAACAACACACAGAGACCTCTGTACTTTTGTTGGCAGCTGTGAGTATCTCCTCCACTCTTCTCCGGTCTGTTTTGACCCTGATTTTTTACTTTAATTATTTTAACCAGTTTTCTTTTTTTTTTTTAAGTATATTTTTTGGGCTTTTTATGCCTTTATTGATAGCACAGTAGAGAGAGACTGGAAATGGGGAGGCAGAGAGAGGAGGAATGACATGCAGTAAAGGGCCGTCCGATGCGGGACTCGAACCGGGGCCGACTGCAGCGAGGACTGTAGCCTTTATATATGGAGCGCCTGCTCAACCCAATGCGCCACTCAATGCCCTATTATTTTAACCAGTTTTCTCTCATCCATTCACCAGGTGGGAGGAAAACCTGTTGATCCTCTCCACCTTTTCTAAAATAATAT